TAGAAACTCTTCCTGTTTTATGGAAGGCTTATCCTGAGGCAAGGGGTTGGTTTGTGAGATCCTTGGAAAGAGGATCTTCCCTTCCAGGTGCGTTTGCATTGCTTACTTTCCTGAGGATTTAGTTCCTCAAAATCCCCTTCTGTTTTGGTTCTGACACCTTAACAATGCTATTCATGTTAAGAAAGCAAATCCAAAAATAAAAAATTAACATAGGATGTCATACTCTTACAACCATTAAACTTGACATTGCAGAATATTTAATATTATGAGAAAAGATTCACAATATGTTATTAACTGACTGGAGAGAAAATGTTTTAAAACATCCTGTAGAATACGATCCCAGAGTTGATTTTTTTTAAAGAAATGCACTTAGAACTTAAAGACACATCATGACATATGCTGTGATTATTTCTGAGCTGTGGATTTGTGGCTGATTTATATTTTCTATGTTTGTGTTTTCTCTGTGGGTTTCTTGCTCATGAGGTTGAGATGGGCTGCAGGATGAGCTGGGAACTGCAGCACTCGTGAGAGAGAAGCATCACAGTGCAGCGCAGGCCAGGCCCAGGGACCAAGTGTGTGATTGGCGGGGAAAGAATGTCCAGTGTTCTACAGTAGGGCCCAAATTTGCTTGTAGAGTCTTCCAATTCAGATTTGGGAAACAGCCTTGCTGTAGCCCAGAGATGACTTTGTATGAATAATTAAGGAAAGGTGCCTGTTTCTCAAAAGAATTTACTGCCATCTGCTGGAAAAGTGTTGTAATAATTGTACAAAGCCTGGGAGACAATGAGGCAAACGTTGGATTTGTGCAGCACAAAACTGTACCACAGTCCTGAGGAAGACCCACTTCTGTCCTCTGACCTAAGCTCTGCTGTGGGTTTGGAAATTTTACTTATTTTTATTTTACTTTATTTTTTGTACTACTGGGGGTTGAACTCAGCACCTTGACACTGAGGTACATCCCCAGACCTTTTCAAAAAAAAATTTTTTTTTTAAAATTTTGAGACAGGGTCTGAGTCAGTAAGTTACCAAGGGTGTGCTCAAACTTGCAGTCTTCTTGCCTCAGCCTTCCAGAGTGCTGGGATTACAGGTGTGTATCACCACACAGGGCTGGAAAACTATATTTTTATATAGTTTTCAATCATGCATTATTGTAGAAAATTCTAGATGCACACAAAAATAGAGAGTAGTGTAGTATATCTTCATGTTGTGTCCAGCTTCAGTAATGTTTGACCTTTGATGCCATTCTTTTGCATCTATCTTCCACAATATTTTTGCTACACTATTTTAAAACAAGTCTCCAATTTTTTTTTTTTTGGTACCGGGGATCAAACTTGGGACCTTGCACTTTTGAGGCAGGCTCCGGAACCACTGAGCTAAATCCTCACCCCCAAGTCTCCAATTTTGTATCCTTTTGCGTGTTTATTTGAGTATATATCTAACTTTCTATGGAATTTAAAAAAATACTATTATCATACCCAGAAGTATGTACTTTTTTAAAGCTCCAAATGACCTTGAAAGTCAGTCACATTTTAAAACAGCTTTGCAAAAGAGGAAACAACAAAGGCAAGGGGAAGATCACACACAGCTTCTGGGAAGGGTGTTGAGTTGTGTTGGCAGCTGAGATTTTGTTGAGTTCTCTGGGTGGGGACACAATGGGCTGTGCTGTTCATGGTGGGATTTCCTTTCCTCCCAGTCAGAGCATTTCCTGCACTGTGGGACTCTGATTCCCTCTTGGCTATGAGTAGGTCCCAGGCATTGGGGTGCTCTCCCCAGTCTCCTCAGCATTCCAGTCTTTCCTCCTTGTTTCACTGCCATTCGAGACTGCTGAAGAGGATTAAAAGCCCCACTTGCTGTCTGACCTCGTAGACCCAAGTCAAACCCAGTGCCTCTGCTCCTAACTAACCAACACTCAGGACCAAGACTCCCCAGTCTGGTGAAGGGTGGGTGGTCATCACATGCAATGGGAAGCTCAGACAAAGAAATGCACAGCCCACGTGCAAATACAAATAGTATAGAGGGAAGGAAGAACCTGCCTGAGGACCTCACTGTCTGGGTTCTCTTTGGAACCTCAAGCAGTACTTTGTTTAGAGAAATTTCCTTATCTAAAGGTTCTCAAATATATAATAGCTAATATTTTAGTGGCATATTTTATTGCAACAAGAATAGGCCCGATGATGTCACTTTTCAGTATTTCATGAACTGGCATAATGTACTCTGCAATAAAATCTTAAGGTGTTCATTTTTTCCTTTACCCACCCCCCTCCTAGTAGTAGGGATTGAACTCAGGGTGCTCTACCACTGTGCTATGTCCTAAATCCCTTTCTTTCTGAGAGAGAGTCTCTAAGTTCCCCAGGCTGGCCTCAAACTTAAAATCCTCCTGCCTTAACCTCCCTAGTGGCTGGGTCCTCTGCTGTTTTAAAAGAATGCCATATAAAATAGAAAGTTCACAAGGGATGACCATCAGTGTGATGAAATTCTAACAGAGATATAAAAGCACACAAGACTGCCTGCTGGTATTTAAGAACCAAGTGGGAGAATGAATTCTGTGAAACTCCTGCCTGAAAATAGTAATCAAGTACCCCACGCTTGAAGTCCAGCCCATTTAGCTCATGGGCCCTGTCTGTAAAATGGCTTGAGCTCCTGATCTGTGGTTCCCAATGTGAGGCAGCATCAGCTTCACTGGGCAACTTGCTAGAGGTGCAAATTGCACATCTCCCTTGAACTTAGTCAGAGATCTGTTTGAATGATCCCTCCAAGTGATCATGATGCAGGCTAAACTTTGAGAATGATTTTGCTCTGTGGCAATCTTGCATCGGATACAGATAGCTCAAAGCCATGATTTGGCCTAGCAGTTGAATGCAAATAAAATCATTTGTCTACCTGACTCTTTAGATGCTGCTCTCTCGCCGGAAGCTGGCCTGCTTCGCAGTGGGGCTGGACTCTGTCCTCGCCTGGTGTTCAGAGCAGACTGCACCTGTTCTTCCCATTGGCTCTGCTCCCTCTTCTCTCCCAGGAAGCTGGACGCACCCTCGGCTTTTGTCACCCTAACAGCTTATGCTGTGGTTTCAGATTAGAGTAACAGGGTTGAAAACTATCCCCTAAATATATCTGACCCGGGCCAGATAACAAAAATCTTATTTATTTTATTTAATAAGTTCTGGGAGGATTATATAATTGAAGGCTATTCATTTCAGATACCTACTAAACCCTTTGCAGCCTCACACTGGCTCTTTTACCACCTGCTTTTCTTCTTTTACAAAACACCACATCCCAGAGGCAGCCCCCCTCCCCCAGTGGAGGGGTTGTGAGGAGGGACAGGGTGGCAAAGGGAAGCAGCACTTGCTTTGCCCTGCAGTGGTCCAGCCAATCAGGGCGTCCTTCTACTTCGTGGATGCCTCTGTCTGGGTTGTGGGTCTCCATACTGCGGCTATTCAAGGAGATGAGTAATGGAGGTGAGAAACGAAAGGGAAAGGAAGGCTTCTAGGGAGCCAGTCTGATGCAGAAAGTGACAGATGACCTGAAAATCCAGAACTCTGCTTCTGTGTGGCTGAGTTTCTTCAGAATGATGTGGTTGGAATACATAATACTGAAATTCATTCTTTTCTTCTACATACCTGTCCAGATTCTTCTCTACTTTTGAGACATACAGAATGTATTTAGGGAAAGAAGTAGGGGAGAAGGAAGGATAAGTATGGTGGGAGGTTGTCACACAATGCAAAATTGCCTCAAGTGTTCCTTACAACCAGATAAACTGGGCAGTGGTATCAGTAATGCTTCCTAAATTCACAGTGATGCAAACAGGTGATTAAGATGCCCTGGGGGCTTATGAGCTCTATTCTTTGAAAGTTTGTATTTTTATTTTGAGAAAACCCAAAATATATGGACAAATATAATCTGGATCACTTGCTAGAAACTTTTTAATGGCATAGTGGTTTTATGTTTATAATCGCGTTAAGACCTAGTGCTAGAGAATTTTTTCCCCATTAAAAGTTGAAGAAAGATTATTCTAGTATAGTCTTCATTAGGCTAGAAGTTCTTCACTTTATCTAATTCCAGCCCAAACACTGAGAGATTCAACTAAAATTTAACTTGGAATAAGAATCAGCATGAGCAGCAACATCCTCAGGATGCTCTTTCAGCTACAAGAATGTTAGGTAAAGTGAGAAAAGCTACATTCTGCTTGTGAGTTTTTATATGATTAGATATGAAAATGTGGTGGAAATATCATTCACAAAAAAACACATTTAATCTATAATAATGTGGATACACCTTTCAAATTAAATACATTTTTGAAGTATTATCAAAAGGAATAAATTTATCAAGGGATTGGGAAAAGGAAAGAAGGGAATGGAATTAATATGAAAAAAGAAAAAGTGGAAACAAAGTCTTTCTAAATAGGAAGGAGTGGAGGGGTTGAAGGGAGGGTAGGGGAATGGGGAAAAAATAAGAACCAAGATATATAATGTAAAGGCACAAATTTCCAATGATGAATGTCATTATATTGTATACCTAAAATGTACCAATAAAATTAATTTTTAAAAAAGAAATAGGTATATCACAGTAAATAAACTTTAAATTGCATTTTTTCTTTCCTCTGGAGTAGCTTTAGTATGTATATATAACATGTTCATGATACTGTTATTCAATTTTAATTTTTTGTCTGTATGTGAAGTTCTGTTTGCATTTATTTTGTTTCCAATATTATGAGAACGTATTTTAGAATGAATAAGCATGAGACTGAGCGGATGGTGGGGGCAATAATATTTGAAAGTCTACTGATTGGTTTATGAGAATAATTGTTTACATGCGTTGCAGCTGTAAACAGACTTGTGGAAAAAACAAAGCTTGTAATAAAAACAATGGGCATTTGGGTCGCACATCTAACTTGTCTGTGACTGGTGACATGAAAATGACCCTGACTGTCAAGTCCTTTCTCTTGAGGTGACAAGGGTCCCTGAGAAGGGAACGATGTTTGCAGGAGGCCGTTTTTGTGTTCACAGGTGTGCACTTGTACTACGTTGGGGGAGAGGTGTATGCCGAGTGTGTGAGTGACAGCAGCATCTTTGTGCAGAGCCGGAACTGCAACTATCAACACGGCTTCCACCCAGCCACCGTCTGCAAGATCCCCAGCGGCTGCAGCCTCAAGGTCTTCAACAACCAGCTCTTTGCTCAGCTCCTGGCCCAGTCAGTTCACCATGGCTTTGAAGTGGTTTATGAATTAACTAAGATGTGCACTATCCGCATGAGTTTTGTTAAGGTAAGGAGTGCTTGCTTTCGAATTATAAAACAAAATGAAAAGCAAAACAAAATGCAAAAGCACTCTTTGGCTGATGTGGCAGTTTATAGCCAGAGAGCAGTCCTTTTATTAGAATTCTACTAATAGTTGTTAGGAAGAACTCCTAAAAACTCCTAGTATGAGCTATTTTGTTCAGCACTATAGGAAAATTCTTAAGCATTTTACTTTTGGAAGAGAAACAAGGTAAAGTAGCTATCTTATTGTTTTTCGTCACTAGAAGTCCACTTACTGTTTTTAATCCAAAAGATAAAGTGACAGTAATAATTTTATAAGATTAAATGCTACAGAAATGTTCCCCATCTCTTACATTGCCACGCACTGTTATCATCCAGTACATGAAGGTAAATTTACTTTATTTTTAAGAAATTCTCACTCTCAGGAAACATACAGGCAAATGTGGGAGATAAATTGATAGAGTAAGCTACACAGGAGAACCAGCTCTAATAGAAGACAGTATAAATTACGTGCTGTTATAAAGGTATAAACAAACTTGGGTTGGAACATTGAGTCGTATGTGATCAGTCCTGAGAAAGTAGTACCAGTATATGTTCAAGTTATGAATATTTGTTGAATTCCTTAATAACATTGCTGTGAAGGTTGGGGAACTGAGGAAGTTACTTAGTGGGAAGGAAAACTAACTGGATTGGCCCATTCAGGCTAACAGCTGCATTTCATCACCTGCTGTTTTATTTGTTGCAAGATGTTTTCAGATCATTCAAATATTTCAAAACCTGAACTTGTTTGTCAAATGACAAGTCACACGGTTTTCACCATGTAACATCTCCATCCAAGGAAGCACTGTGACTAGCTCCAGGTGTCTCAAAATAAATTTTGTTAGCCCTTTAAAATTACCATGACAGATTGTCCTATTTTACTATACTCAAAGTATATCTTCATTGTATTTATAATTGTTTGAAGCCACTTGGGCATACAAGGTTTAGCATTCTACCTCTGAGCTATATCCCCAGTCCTTAGTATTTACATTAAAAATAAGAATCAATAATACATACTGTTTTCAGTTTTTTGTTTTTTTTGGTACCGGAGATCGAACTCGGGTCCTTGCACTTGTGCAGCAGGCAGCAAAACCACTGAGCTAAATCCCCAGCCCTGTTTTCAGTTTTTACACTGGCTTCTTGTTTTTTTCTTTTTTGAGATAGAGTCTCACTTTGTAGTTCAGGTTGGCCCCAAATTCAAGTTGGCCTCGAACATGTGGTGATCCTCCTGCCTCCCAATTGCTGGAACTGTAGGCCTGAGCCACAGGCCTATCTACACTGGCTTCTTGGAACCATTTTTCTTTCATGATGACAAAGCAGTTTTATTTAAACTCACCATTTTAACAACATTTTTTACCTTGTAAAGTAATTAGCAAGTACGCAGAATTTTTTTCATATGCTCTGTTGCTTTAGAGCCAGCAGAGGGCATTAGGTTGCTGTTAATGAATAATTGTTTGAATCCTACAGTTATTTTTTTCCAGATCTGTGTTTTTAAAATGAGGAAGAAATGCCAACATCTCATAGGTAATTATTTCACTGAGATGTAAGCTTGCATGATCTTTTCCTGAGATCATCTAGATGTATTTCTCAGATATGCAACATTTAAATTTATGAAGCTAGACAATTCACAGAAAGCACACCATTAGCTAGTATTGCAGAGACCTAAAAATACTTATCAAATATAAATATAGATGATTAGTTTAAAATTATAGATGACTGAAGACTGGCAGAGTGATGGACTAGATCACCTGTAAGGTCTCTGATTTTTACTGATCCTAGGACTCCTTCATTCAGTCAACAAATATTTCTGGAGCACCTGCCATGTGCCAGGCCAGGCACTATTTGCAGGCCTTGAGATCTATTGGATAATTACTCACAGGTCTCTTTCTTATTCTACAAGAAATGAGAAAATGTAGATTCAAGTAAAGGGAATTTGGAGTGCTGGGGCAGGGAAGGGTGCAAGCCACAGGAGCCTATGGAGGAGGAGTTGCATCAGCAGAGATTTAAAGGTGAGTGTTAGCTGTGGAAGTCCGGGGGAGAGCAGTACAAGGTGAGGAAGGAGCAAGCACACAGCCTCAGGGTAAGAGTGTTAGAAATTTGAAAGGGAGGAGCAGACTTTGTGACTGCTGCCTAGGGAGCTAATGAGATGGCGTGAGAGCTGTTCCAGGAGTTTACTGAAAAGAGGTGGCAGGGCTTTACAGGGATTTCTTTCAGCAGATGAGTTTCCTGGTGAGACCTATGTTTCAAAAGGATCACTCTGGCCACTGCATGCGGAGTAGGCATTTCGCAGTCAAGGTGAGAAATAGGGAGGACAGTGAGGAGGCTGTTGCAGTGTTCGGGTGGGACGTCATGGTCCCCACATCAGGAGCTCCAGAGGAAGTTGTGAGAAGTAGAAAGACTCCCAGTTGTGAAGGCAGATTTGATTCAGGTTCAAGGGAAAGAGGGTTAGAAAGATGGAATTAGTTGCCTTCAACCATGATGGAGATGTGAGTGGTTCAGGATTGGAGATAGAACTGAGTTCGGCAGCTTTGAGGTGTCGCTGAGTGTAGTTAGACCAAAGAGTGTTTGGGGAGAAAGGTTGCTGCTGACTGTGTAAACTGAGTATCATACCATGCAGATGGTATTTAACTTCATGTCCTGGATGACTTTGGTTTGAGCCCAGGACACTTCAACATTAAAGTTGAGGGAGAAGAGAAGTAGTCGGCAAAGGGAACTGTGAAAGGCCAACCAATGAAGCAGCGGTAGAATTAAGTCTAGTACCATTTAAATGGATTCATGAGTCTAATAATGCATTGGATGGGTGAACTTGCTTATATGCAAACAACAGGTAATTTATGGCAAAAGGTAGAAAGGCTGAGTCTGTGTGCCCAAGTGAAACCATCAGCTAGAGGGGAAGTGAGGCCAGAGCAGTGTGGTGAGACTGTCAGGTGGCACTGGATCACGGTCACAAATGGAAGTGTGACCAGGCAGCATGATTCTGTTGAAATCCAATTTTTAAACACCTAGACTAAGAATTACTGTTCCCAGTACCAAAACTAATTTGTTTAGATGTGATCTCTATAAATTTTCCATTAATGAATCACATATAGAGATAAATATGCAAGGCTATTTACTGTCTGTCCTATAGAGGATAATAAATGGGAAATTGTAAAAAGAGAAGAGAAATAAGCTTTGATAATCCACCTGGGAAATCAAGAGCATCCTCCACTTCTCTCGTCACAGCTTTCAGCTCCATTCCCTGCTCTGTCATGAGGAACCATTTTGGGCAGGATACTATCTTCATCGTGAAGGGCGTGAATGAATGTAAGGTTGAGGATCTCCCCCTGTGGAAGGGGACATGACTTGCCAGCATGTCCCGTGGGATGGTCTAGAGCTCAGCCATCCTTGGGTTGGTACCTCCTTTTGAGCCGAGAGGGTGCACTGATTTGGATTCCTCTGAGGCGGCTGATTGGTGCAGAAGGCACCCTACTCCTACAGGAAGGTGTAGTCTGTGCTGTTCCTCTCAGCTTTTAGGAGCTGTCTGGGTGTGTGGGTTCTGTGTGCCCCTGCTTTGCCTGGTGGCTTTGGGTCATGAAACGGTGCAATCACTCTGGGATCCCTGCTTGCTTTTCAGGGCTGGGGAGCTGAGTATCATCGCCAGGATGTCACGAGCACCCCCTGCTGGATTGAGATTCACCTTCACGGACCGCTGCAGTGGTTGGACAAAGTCCTGACTCAGATGGGCTCTCCACACAACCCCATTTCTTCAGTGTCTTAACAGCTGTGTCTGAAGCTGCATTTCTATAGAACAGATGCTGTTGCAGGCAGTTTCTTATATCATTTCAGATTTGCAAGTAGCTCAAGTTTCTAAATACCTGTGTAAATATATATAATGTATACTGTTCATATTTTTTACCACCTTTTGTTTTGTGCTACCTAGTTAACCTGGGGCCAGTACAGAGTGATTGGAAGAGCAGGGTTTTCAAGCCTATGCTATAGTAAACCGCTACTTTTGTGGGAGGAAATGAATGAAAGGCAGCAGCAAAAATGATATGTGAAGGGTGTCAGCGGAGTCAAAGCCGCTGTAATTGGCATGTCATATCCAGCATGTGCGGCCTAGCAGAAACGTGGAAGCTGTTCATATTGCAAAAATCAGGTAGTAGAGGCACTAGAGAAAATAATATTTTCACCCAAAACAAAGCAATCAAACCCATACAGTTTAAATGATGTCACTTTTAGTGCTAATAGCAAGGCAGGGAAATCAAGCTTCTACAATGAATTATGTGAGATAAACCACAGAAACTTTATTTCTGTTTTTTTTTTGGTACTGGGGATCGAACTCAGGTCCTTGCACTTGTGAGGCAGGTGGCAGAACCACTGAGCTAAATCCCCAGCCAGAAACTGTATTTCTGAAGTTGAAATATACTGTAGTTGAACTACTGTGCTATTATCAATGGTACATTTAAAACATTTAAACTGTGAAGAGTCATGTTGCCTCAATCTACCACTGTAAAAGTGAGTCTAATAAGAGAAAATAAATATGAAAATAGAATGAAATGAGCCATAATCCCAAATGATAAGGTCAGTTCAGAATTTAGTCTAAGAGCCACCCAGGGAGGCTACTGCTTTCCACATTGGAAAACAGGTTCTGTTCTCCAAGGTTATATTGTCAGACAACCCTGCAGATTGCTGCATCTGCACAGAGTGTTCAACACTAGGTGTGAGTCCTGTGCAGGGAGGAAGCAGTGAGATAAAAGGGTTGGGCAAAACATCACACATTTACTTACACCTTCTCACATTCCCACATTCAAGCTCCAGTCAGGGCAACCCCTGTGCCACAGTTTCCTGCCTTTGAATATTAACTATTTACAGATTTTTAAAATAATAATAAAGCTTTTGGGAAAATCTAGACATATTGTTGGATCAAATTTATGAATTAATTAACTTAGTGTCTCTATTGGTTAAATTATTGACTGGTTAAATCTGGTAGTCTCTTTTAAAGCTAAACTCTCCTGAAGTAGAATGATAATAATTTCATATTCCCTATAATCTGGGAGAAGCAGTGGTACCAAATAACAGCACATCTTTTTAAAACATGCATAATATTAAAAAGCTGTTCTGTTTTTCTTTGGATGATAAAGGGAAATCCCAGAAATTTCTAGGTACTTGCTGCCCACTAAACACTGCATAGCTTGAAAAGATATTTCACACCCTCTTAAAAATATATAATTTAAGATGGAAGTTACACTTCTAACAGACAGTACTTCAGTAATCCAAGAGGCTTCTTCATTTATACCTTCTAGCTAGCATTAGAGCACATGTAGTTGTTTCTCATCAGACTATATTCAAGTTAGAAAGGATCATGTGAAAAAGATATATGAGTGAGCTACTACTGTCACCTCTTGTAAAGACTAGTGTTCTCTAATAGAAACTTTCATATATATAATAGAAAATAATTACTACTTTTTTACATTAAAACTAGGCAGCCCACTTAGTGTTTAGAAAAACCCACAGTTTACTGGTTCATCAGCTATGTGATGTGCACTTGTGTGTGCCAGGTACAGTGTTAGGTACCACGGAATCAGTTGGAAATGACGGCCCCAGCACTAATGGGGCAGAATCTAACAGTGAACCCCGCTTGTCTTGTATAAACATCTTTGTGTTTCGGAACTTTGAAAACAAAATATGTAAACTTTCTTTTGCTTGAAAAATGTCATTGATTTTTAAGCATCTCTATTTTTAAATTTTATTTCCCTTCTGTTCTGACTCCTTGGATAAATGCTACTTTTCTTCCATGTCTCAGAGTTTGTTTTTCCCCCATCCTTGCTTCCTCACTTTCTAATAATTCCCTGTCTCCCCTTTTCTTGGAAAAGTCATTAATCTGGTGAGTCTCATATGAATACCATTCCGTGGGAGTTTCAAGTACACACAGCTTTTGCTCCAGAGCCCAACAGCAGCTTGTTGATCCTCTCCACAAGCTGTCAAACTCATCCTCTGGGAATCTTATACCTTTATAGAATCAGTCAGAAGTTGTGGCTTATAAATGATATTTAAAACAACAACTACAGTTTAAAAAACACATAGGTTTCAGTGTAACTGTAAAACCATGAGAAATTAGCTAGTGTGCCTGAATTATTTCGGTGAAAAATAAGTTATGAAATGGCACGTGTCATTATCAGCAATCATGCCCCACCAAGCCCTGTGAAATTTGGAGAATTTAGAATTGATGGGAAGTAAGTCCTCTGGCTGTTGTAAATAGCCACTTTTTCCTCCTGATACTGAGAATTGAACCTAGGGCTTCATACATGCTAGGTGAGTGCTGTGCCACTGAGCTATACTCCCAGCCCGTATGAACACATTTCAATCAGCTTTTTTTTTTTCTTTTGCTGCTAAGAATTCTCAAAGCTTGTAATGGAGTATTTTATTTAGATTTCAAAGTGTGGTCATTTAGCATTCATTCCATGAGGTAGACAAGCTGAAAACTTGAATAGCAGCCTTTCACAGGAACACAAACAAAGCGGACAGGGTAGGCCATTGAATGCATCAGCACTGCTAACGTGTTTCAGGTTGCCATGACAAGAATCATGGAGCTGAGAGCAGCCACAATTTGGCCTGCTCACAAGAACCAGAAGATTGTTCATGTTGTTCAAGTCAGTATTTTTTTTTTTAGTATTAAAAAAATGAGATGTGAAAATTTTGTTTTTGTTAGATGACATGTTGATAGCTGCTAGTGCTTTGCAACCAAAAAGATGTCACTTTTTAAAACATACTTTTATGTTTTGCTTTGCTTTGTTTTTATACTCAGTATAAATCAGGAAAAGTTGGCCAATTACCTAGCCTTTAGCATAGTCTTTGTGTTTTCTTCTAAGGATATGGATATCCCATAACAGCAACAAAACATCAATAATAAAACCATTTTATAAATATCACTTGCTTCTTAAGCTCCTGCTTAACTTTGAATGTGTCTCAAATATTTGCTACGTATATTCAATAAAGCATGCAAAACATAACATGCATTCCAAATTGTCTTCCCTGTTATGATTTAACAGCTAAACTGTACAAGCTTAGGTGATCCTGGCATATATTAAAGATAAATTCAAATGAATGTATAACACACAAAAAAGGAGAAACCCTATTTGAATGAAGTAATGCTTTTGATGATAATAACCTTGGCTTCAGATATCCTTCAAATGCACAGTTACACTGTATTCTGATTGTTTATAATAAAGAATACCGTACACTGGCATGTGTTTTAGCTCATTTTTCCTACAAAATTCATAACAGCATTCACTGTATGTGGATCTTCAGGCCCTCACCACAATTAATCTTAAACCATCCTAATTTGAAAATAGAACCTTTAAAAAATTCATCCTGTAGCGAAATTAAGTGGTGATTTTGAATTAAACATCTTGCAGAAGTTTTAGAGACAATATACAAAAGCTTCTTAATTTATAATAGGGTTGTACCTGTATAAAATTCCTGTAAGTGGAAATTATAGTAAATAAAAAACTCATTTAGTACACTTACCCTACCAAATAATCCACCTAAGCAACCCCACAGAGTTGGCTGTTTTCCATTGTTGCCATGTGGCTGACGGATCTGCTGCTCACTGCCATTGCCCAACACTACAAGAGTACTATGCTGAGTATCACAGACCAGGGAAAAGAACACAATTAAAAATGCAAAGTATGGTTTCTACAGAATGCATAGATTGCTTTTGTACCATCATGAAGTTAAAGAACTGTAAGTTTAAAAATTGGTACTACTCAGCCATAAAAAACAAAAAACTAGAGTCATTCATAGCTAAATGGATGCATATTGAGGCCGGCCATACTTTTAAGTGAAATAAATAGGACACACATGTAAATACCGAATAGTTTCTCTAGTGTGAGAAACTGATAGTGTAAACAAGGGTTAAAATGATTAAAATGAATAATTGATAATTTGAAATAGGAAAAAAGGTCCAAAGATGAAGGAGTGAAGGGAGGGGAAGGGGAAAGGAAAAGAGGGAAAGAAAAAAACTATGAGAAAAGAAAAAAAAAAAAGAAATGAAATCTATGTAAATAAGGAAGGGTGGAGGGGGTGAAGGGTGCACAGGTAATGGGGAAAAAAATAAGAACCAAGATATATCATGTACAGGTACAACCACCCAATGATAAATGTAAATGAATTTTATACCTAAAATGTACCAATAAAAACAACAACAAAAAAAGGTAAGTCAGAGACCATTTGTACATAGAAGCCTTTTTCTGGGTAGTAGCAAATACGAAGTGATTTTGTAGTCTATAGGAATGATTGATTTTATTATCATGAACATCTGCATTTTGTTATATATTGTCCATTAAAAAGGTGGTAAAAGACGGCTAATGTTGGGGTGGGGATTTAGCTCAGTGCCACCATGCCTGCCTTGCAAGCACAAGATCCTGAGTTTGATCCCCAGTATAAAAAAAAAAAAAGGCTATTGTGAAAAACTAAATGAAGTCCAGGATAAATATGAACATATCTAAAAATTTGAATTCTTAATTCCCTTTAAATTTACTTCTAGTCTTCAAATATAGAAGGAAAAATTTAATATTTCTAGAAAATTTAATTTTTTAATTAACTTTGTCAATTTTTAAAAAAAGGAATGGGTCCCTTTACTCAAAAGAAGTATTTTATGAAATTCCAAAATATAAATGTTTTAAAGACAAGCTATTCAGGTCAGATATTGGTGGAGATAATAAAACTTCTGGGTTAAGTTTCTGGAGGGCTTAGGATGTACCTCAGTGGCTGAGCACTTGTCTAGCATGTGCAAAGCTCTGGGTTCAACCCTCAGCACCAAGAAACAAGGTAGGGGGCAGAGAAAAAACAGGCTAGAAAATTAAGTTTCTGAACCCCAGTGACACCCTGTTTGTCTCTTCATCTCCCATGGTTCCTGAGTCTGTTCTTTCATGTAACTTCGTTTTGGCATTTCAAACACTGATTTTGTACATATTTTAAATATATCACAATGTAGACATAAAATTCTGTCTTTTACATTACCTCATCTTACAGGAGTATTTTCATCGCCATAGAAACTTCCACACATTCATTCATTTGATAATTCTTTTGTATCAACAGGTGCTATAGATACAAGGACAGCATTTCTGCCTTGAGATTACCAGGTTATGAAGCAAGATACAAGAGTAAACCAACAAAGTCTGTTATCATTTGTGATAGGCTCCTGGAGAGAGGGCAAATAGGAATGACATCTTCATCAGGCTCTGGGTGGAACAGGGAAGGCTTCTGAGCTAATCCAACTTGACTTCCTTCTAACAGCTCCCTTAGCAAGCCATTCCAGGTATGCCCACACCAGGTTAGATGCTCTCATAACAATTTCTGCTCATGAATGGCCAGTTATCATTTCCTGTGCCACATTGTCCACCGCTCTTTAAGGACAGAAATTGTATGTACTCTTCAGCATTTTCCAGCCTCGTTTGTTTAGAACAGCATTTTGGATTCACCCTGTAAGGCAGAAATAGCATTTGTTTACAATTCTCCTTCAAAAAATCTGTAAATATTTAGTTTCTTCTCTTCAAAATAAGAATTTCAAGTCTCCAATTGCATGTTAAGTGACCATGAGCAGCTGGTGGGCATCAGAGAAGCATGCCAGTGATTCATTTTGGAAAGTTATTCAGCTGCAAAGCAGTAACAAGGTAGCTTGTAAAACAGTTAAAAGTGGTTTAATTCTAAGCATGTATTTTCAAATATGAGTTTCAGATTGAAAGCATAAAGAATTCTGATGTTGCATCATCAAGTTAACAAAAAGACCTGATTTTTGAAAGTTTACTTCTGCATTGCAACTGATGGCTCCATAATTTGTATGCACCTGATATATTTTGTATTGCCTCAGTATTGCTCTAGTAATATAATAAATACTAGGGTGAAATGGCGTGAATAATGAAATTTATATCCAGTTTGGTTTTTGAGGCAAAAACTATTATCACCTGCCATGTGTTACTCATAGATAATGCTTGCAAGTGGCAGGGTACCTACCTCCTAATTTAGAAAGGAACGCACTTAAAAATTACAAAAAACCCCACTGGTGTTTAGCCCAATTTCAAGAATTCCAGACCTTATGTCTTGAAACTGTCTTCTTTATTTGATGTCATGACAATTTATCCTTTATTGTACATTTAGTCTCCAGGCTAAACATAGTATCATCTTATAATTCATTTGTTAAAAAATTCAGTTTTTCTTGACAATTTTTAAAAATTAATTTTATTGGGGGGCTGGGGATTTAGCTCAGTGGTTTCGCCTCCTGCTGCTCAAGCACAAGGACATGAGTTTGATCCTCGGTACCAAAAAAAAAATTAATTTTATTGGTACATGTTAGGTATACAATATAATGACATTCACCACTGGAAATTTGCACCTTTATGTAATCTCTCCTGGTTCTTGTTTTTTGCCCCATTCCCCTTGCCTCCCTTCAACCCCTCCATCCCTCCCTAGTTACAAAGACTTTGTTTTCATTTTTTCGTTTTCTCATATTAATTCCATTCCCTTCTTTCCTTTCCCCCACCCCCCACTTCCCCTTCCCCTTTGCCCCTTTTCTTCCTATTTCACATTATCTATTATACCTTTTAGTCCTTATTTACACTTTGTTTCTTACACTA